TTGAGAGCAGATACAGAGGAAACCATGGAGCTTGTTACAAATCTCCCATTTGAGGACTTCAAAGGTGATCCTTCACAAAATAGCCTGTGTTAGAGATGAGGCCTTGAGCTGGGGAGATGACTCAGTCAACAAAGTGCTTGCCACAAAAGCAGGAGGATCTGAGTTATATCTCCAGCCCCACCTAAAATGGTGAAGAGTCATGTACCTGTAATCCTAGTTTTGAGAAGGCAGAGAGAGGAGGATCTCTAGGGGCTTGTTGGCCAGGCAGGCTAGGTGACTATGCAAGATCCGGGTTCACTGAGAATACCTGTCTGAAAAAATATGGTGGAGAGTGACTGAGGAAGGCATTTGACAGTGACTTCTGACCTCTACACACACACAGAGAGAGAGAGAGAGAGAGAGAGAGAGAGAGAGAGAGAAGGTAGAAAAAGGACTAATCAGTCTAGCCCATGACCTCCATCCAGTAATTATCTCCAAACCAGGAATCACCCTCCAGTGTCTTCTTTCCTCAAAGGAATCGGCACACTTAGTAAATCCTAGAGTAGAGGATGGAGGTCCCTAACCGTGAGGAAGGACACCGCGGCACTCTTTACCCCATCACTGTACCTTTCTGTCTCATGTTGAAGAAAAAGATGCACCCATAAATAAAACTTAATTTTACACTGTACTTGGCATTATACTCACTAAAATGAGAGTTTTCTTATCATGTAAATGACCAAATACATGATGCAACTGGAAACTTTAGAAACCCTCATTTTTTTTTCTTTATTTAATGGATGAGAAAAATAACAGTCCACAAACATGGTTAGGGTAAAAGAAAAAAAATAAGGTTATTTTCTTCCTTGAACTCAGATATCTGGCAAAAGGAATACATCATTTCCCTTTGATTTTGTTAGCCATTCTAATCTGTTTCTTTTTCTAGATTAGCTTTTGATTTCTAAGAAAATCAAAAGCCCTGATTATGATTTTATTAGAGTAGGGCTCTGCTTTTAATTTGTAGAGAGTTTAGCTGTCTATAATAGATATCATTCTAAAATATGGAATTTTAGTCAGTTATGTTTAGACTTCTCAATAAATTTTAATATTATTTTCATTTTATCCTATACATTTATTTTGTTCCCATCCTATGAATTTTGTATTTGTTTTAATGATGTTCCTGTTCTTGATACTAGGAAGATGATTCTTCTCTTAAAACTGGCTATTGGGTTTTAAATACAGATGTTCCTCAACTTAGACAAGATTACATTCTAAGAAACTATGATAAACTGAAAATATAATGAATACTGTACCTACCAAACATCACAGTTTAACAACACAGTACACTGTAGACTATCAGCTGTTTATAGCCATGATCACATGACTGACTGAGACCTGCAGAATATTGCTGGCCAAAGAAAAGATCAAATTTCAAGATGTAAAGTGTAGATTTTACTGAATATGAATCACATTTATACCATAACCAAAGTCAAAAAGTTATTAAGCTGACTATTGTAAGTCAGGGACCATCTGAAAAATTAGTTGTATGCTTGCATCATAATCCACCACTTCACTAAATTTTAAGAATTTTAGTTGAAGAGCTTGTGTTCACTAGGTTTGTAGTTAAATCATCACTGGCTGTTCTTGCGGAGAATCTGGGTGCAGTTCCCAGCACCCACATGGTAGCTAACAACCATTGACAACTCCAGTTCCAGTGGATTTAAGGACTCTTCTTACCTCTGTGGGCATTGCAAGGCACAGGTACACTTACATACATGCAGGCAATACACTCATACCCACAAAATAAAAATAATAAATAAAATATTAAAAATAGCTAACATTTTTTAGCAGTCAGAAAAAAATAATTACCAAGAGCCATATGTGTTCACTGGGACTAACACATGTCAAGTTCACAGACACAGATACACACAGAGATGTGTTTATTTGAATGAGGCAGTATTGGGGTTAGAACATGCCTTGACCATGCTAGGGAAGTTCTTCACTACTGAGCTATAGCCTCGTCTCTCTTTTCGCTTTTTGTTTTGAGACAGGATCTCACTACGCTGACCTTTAACTCACTTTGTGGTTTAGGCTAGTCTTAAGCTTAAAATCCTGCCTCAGCCTCCCAAATAGTTGTGATCTCAGGCTTATACCACTGAGCCTGATTTTTTTTAATAAAGTAATTAAATGAGGACAGATCAGTAGATAGTGCACCTCAACCTCACAAGTGTGTTTGGGTAAAGCCTCTCATGATGCCATTCTAGGTAAGATGGTAAAATGTGAGTGGTAAGCATAAATTCTCAGTCGTTTAAAATTGGGTTCTGAATAGTGGTTCTGTGTCCCAATTAGGAATTACCAGGGAAAGCCCTTAGTCTTTTCTAGTAGACATTTTAATCAATTTGTAGATAAGGCTATAAAATGTATGCATGTCAAATTTCAAAATATTACAACATTGGGGATAAAAGGAACCAAATTACCAAAATCTATCAAAATTTTAAATGATCTTAATAGCTTGGAACATAATTAAAATCTAAATTAAATTAAGAAAATGAGTGAGGCCTTACATTATCTGTCACACAAGTATAAGATAAGGAGATTGGCTTGGCAGCTGTTCACATCAAGACCATGAGCAAACACTTCCTGTATATCCTAAAATACAATACAATCGTGGATATAGAGGGCCATAATGCAACATTACAAAGTAGAGCTCTGAGTCAGGTCTGGTGTCCCATACCTTTGATCCCAGCACTTGTGAGGCAGAGGCAGGCCGATGTCTGTAAGATTGAGGCCAGCCTGGTCTACATATTGAGTTCTAGGCCAGCTGGGGTTACAGAAAGATCCTGTCTCAAAAAGTCAAAAATAAATAAGTAAATAAATAAATAAATAAATAAATAAATAAATAAATAAACAAGTTAGATCTCTGGGTGAGCAGAAGACAGGGCGTTCCTCAGGGGTACCTGGGAGCCTGTGAAAGGCAGGGTAGAAAGTAGGAGCAAGCAAAGGGAAGAGGAGGGTTGGGATCCAGACTCAGACTACCTTGATCAAACTCACTGGACTACTCAGCACCAGAATTGATCTTTACAACTGTCCCTAATGGACCAAGATAGTGGAGCCTTTATACTCTGACATTAATCATGTACTGGATGTAGGCTGCCCAAGGAAAGAAAAGGACATGACCTTGGAGGAGAAGGATCTCTGCAGCTGAGCAATATCTAAAGGGTTGACAGCTGAGCCCTATCTACCGACAGCACTGCCAACAGCTGGGTCAACAAATCCTTCAGTGAAGGGGTTTCTGGGCCATGCATCACAGTGTCCTTCACAGTGGGAAGCCCCAGTCCCTGCTCCAAATCCATAGAAATGCTGGGAGAATATATTTTTAAGGTATTTTTAATACATGGTTAAACACAAAAAAGCAAGAATGGATGCCAAAAGTAAAGAAAGAGCTGACAGGCAAAGCACAAGATGGAGAGATGCCTCGGGAGAATGTACATTTAAGTTCCTTGAGAAGGAAATGAATGCTTCAGACTATTCCCAGTCATCCACCAGAAGCAAGGACCAGTCATGCTACTGGTTCTCAGCAGAGGGAGAATTCAAGGCATTCCATGAGGTGTCCCAATTCACTTTGCACCTGAGGCTCTCACAGTAAACAATGTCTCTGAGCATTAGTTCCCATAAGCATTACAGAGCATAGGATGAGGAACTTTCGAATGCCAGCTTCTATTAACGTAAAGTTTAGACCATCTCACAAGAGACTTACAACTGCTCAAAATACTC